TATCACCCGATCATTTCTAAGTGCAGTTGCAATAGGCATTGTTTACTTATGTTTATTAGTAAAAAAAAAACAAAATGTTATTTAAAACTTCGATCGTTTGTTAGTAGCGATCCCGACGAAAGAACTAGCGCGAAAAACTCGCTAGAGAATTGTATAAAAAGCAATACGCCCCCGCCTATAAGCTTGCTTCGCGCTCCCGAAAGTGCTCATTGCGGAACTTTCGCGAGTGCGAAAGCCCACGGAAACTTCGAACTTTCGCGAGTGCGAGGCGAGGCAAAGCGCACCTTTCTATCTCACCCTTAGGCGACAGCGGGGGGTGAGAGCGGGAGAAGAGGTTCTGACTGACGACGGCGGACTTTTAATTACTCTGGCGCAAGTCCTAGGGCACGTGGAAGCGAAAGATAAGCTTCATCGCTGAAATAAAACGAGCGAACACAGAAAGAGAGAGAGAGAGCTCCGGTCGTAAGTTATGCCGCAAATTATGCAATTAAAAGTCCCGCGGACGTGAGCTTCGCTTTTTTTTTTTACACGCGCACGCCCCGTCTTTCGTAAACTCTCTTCTCGTTGTGTGACTACAATTCGCGACGGTTACCACCGAAAACTCGTTTTTGTGTTTTTGTTTTGACAATTTCGCAACGATCGTCGCGGTTAATTTACGCTCACCCAAATTACCTCAGGTAGCTTACGCATTCGATGCGTCCACGCAATCACGAAAAGCAATTCGTCAGTACCTCAGAACGAGAGAGATTGTTACACGGCTAAGGGTGAAAGTCCCGCAGAAAACAGCATTTCGCTCAAGATGATTACAGAAGCGTTGAAACACACCAGCGCTAAACACCCAGCCACTTCCGCATGCGGCGGGCATATTTATGGCGAATTCTCGAATCGCCTCATGAAATATGAGTCTCAATACGGCGTGTATACGCACATACACACACAGCTCTGTATACACTCTAATAATTCCGCATAATTTATACCAAGATGCTGACATTAGAAATATATCGTGCGAGAGCATAGACGCGAATTAAATTGTGCACCGTTCGCGCGCGCAAGATCGTTCTGTGAACTATTACCGACTCGGTCAGCAAACAATGGCCGTTCATAGTCCGCCGCACCTGAGAGTAAAAGTTACTTCTTGTCTTTCTGAATGTTTGCTTTTCCGATTATGACACGTCGCCGCACGTGTGCGTAACCTTGATTTATTTAACCGATTGAGCGTGTACAGCAAATCAAGTCGTGTCACTCGCGCGACAACAAGCGCACTTTAAGAAATCGGCTTGAAAACAAATTTATACATTTTGAAAAATTTGCAAACGCACGTGTGAGTATTTTTACTCCGGCGAATCTCGAAATAAATCTATCTACATCCACCTACACAGAATACCGACGCGAAGAATACACCGCGGATGTGAATGTCGAATGTCTTGCTCGGCGGTGTGCAGTTGGTGTTGTACGACGCGAGCTGCAACCGGAACGAGTTGAATAAAAGGCCCCGCCAATCGATACGTAAATAGGTTAATCGCGCTGTCGTTCGTCCTCCGTGTGCACGCAGTCTCCGGTCTGACTGCGGTGTGTGTTTGTTAAGCGATTGCACAAACGGGGCCTATTCAGGTTGCCGGTTCAGAGGAAATCGCACGGTCGATAGAATAGAACCTAAACGCGCCGACGACCCCGACCCATTACGGAACGACAGTGGCATGCACACGCACCTTTCGCGTCTCACGCGATGTGCGCGCGAGAAGATGCATTCGCGGCCTTTGTAAAAGCCGCTCTCGGTCTAATGACACAGTTGGCAACGCGACAGAATAGGGTGACGATAGATAAGGAGAGAGTCTTCTCTTGCAAGAGAAGACATTGGCTGAGGCGGACTGAATAGTCCTCTCTTCCTCCTATCGATCGTTTGTTCGATAATACTCGACATTAGACGTATGTTTTATTAACAATCCTAAACAACGATACAAAAACACAATTCAACTTAGAACAATTGTAGAGTGTACGAAATGCGATTAATTTCACACAATAATTTACGGTGACAAGAATACTGCAAATATTGTCTACTTATACAGAGAATTAACAATTATTTAAGAAATATATTTCTTTTTATACACATATTTATCATTCTAAAATAGTTAAAAGGAGTAGTGAAAATATTTTTTTACTTATTTAACAACGCAACAAGTTACTTATACTTCATTTTTCTTAAATTAAGTGTTTCTTTAAAAAAGAGAGAATTATTTTTTGATAAAAATTACAACCCTCGTAAGGGTTACCAAAAATTGCCGTAGCCGATGGTATTTCACATCGTCATGGCGGGGTATTGGTAAAAGTTTTCAACTAGCAATAATCGCACCTCGGTAAAACCTCATAGGTTACGATATCGCCGCTGCGCAAAGCTGATGAAACTCCGTCACGTCGGGCTATATGAAGCTTGTTTAGTAAATTCTGATCACGAGAAACTTTCTATTGACTCTCGCCATCTAACGAGTTTCATGCGAAGCTACTACATGCCGTCTATTAATTCCATCTTCTCTTGTTTCATTATCTTTCATCGTGCAACAAAGTTAAACAAATCAATAATTAGGATTTTAAATAATTTAATTTTTAGGGCATGAAAAAATCAAAATTTTCATTTTATAAGACGACATATTCAATGACTGGCATTTTAAGTCCAATAATTGGCACTTAAAAACTCTATCAATTCTTTTTCAAAAGTGTTAACTAAAGCACTCTAATAACGTTGTCATAAAAAATCCAAATTAATTCTATAATGATATCAAATGCAAAGTAACCATAGACAAAAATGAGGAAAAACCACTAGTGTCAATTATTGGTATTATAAGGATTCGATTATCCTACCTAAATCTGTTTTATATGTCAAACCAAAAAATTAAGAATATATAAATTATGTAAATGTGTTCGAATAAAATAAAATTTTTTCAATAAAACTTCCATATTGAAACTTTATCCGTCACATGCGCGCCGTCAATAGATCGTAGCAACGAATGAATAATAATAATATAGATTCGGGACACAGATTGATTCGAGTTGCGTGCAGCGAGTCGCGCTCGCGCTCGAGCGCACGCGTCGCTTGGCGCAAAAAATCGATACTAATTTTCATAAATCAAATCGTGCTACGAATGAAATTCAATGTACAGCGTGTTTCGCTTTTCGAGCAATTTGTCTTCCGGCGAGGAAGCCGGTCGCGGCGAGGAAACGCACGGGAAAAGCGTGACTCCGGCGCGACTTCGGCGGGACTTCGCGCGAGAGCAGGCGAAAATCCGCAGCGCGTGAAAATCATCCGAGGCGATCGTGTAGCGGCGGTCTGTATAGCTGTATGTTACACTTTCTCCACCGTCAGCCATAGATTCCACACGCCTACAACTGGGTCATTATTTCTCCAATTACAACTTTCGTTGCGCGTCGGGCCTCATGAGAGCACAGTCACGCGACGTCACATAAATTCTCGATCGATTAGCCCCGTATTGCGCAACAACACACGGAGCAACTAGGTGGGCTAAAATATTCCCATATGCAGGAAGTGCGGATAACGAGAAAAAAGTAAGGAGGTATATAATGCAGGGAAAAAAAATAATTGTTTCGTTTGAGCAAGAGTGTGTGTGTGTGTGCACCGCATGATTGTACATGTATTGTGTCTCGCGGTTACGATAGAATGTATACTATATCTATTCCGCCGCTGTCGGGGACGCGAGCATTAATGGGAAATCCGACAAGCCGTCGATAAACTGATTTTCGCACGATAAGACGTAATCACGTACGCGGCGTACAGATAATCTCGCTTGCTCGCGCGTGCTGCAACCACGTCGTTGCGCGCTCGCGTCATTACGCGGTGTCGTTTGTGCATACGCGAGATAAATCCGAGGTACTCAATCTCCTTGACAATCAATCAGAACTACTGCTACGCTTTCACTACGTGTCGACTGCTGTGCTTAGTTTATTTATCAATAAAATTTGCATTCGCACCACCGTATTCATATTTCTTTTTTTATTCCGAGATTCGATTTTCCTCTGGCAATTTCCGTTAAGAAACTTCCTTTTTCAAGGACGAACTTATATTAATAGTAAATTAATTGTTTTCGTTTGTCCTTAGACGAGATCAATGACTAAATTTCCAAGTTCGATCGACGACGATCTCGAACATCGTTCAATCTAACGCGCGTGTATAAGTTTCTCCCGTTTTACGAGACCGTCCAATGTTCTTCGTCCGCGCTTGTAAAACGTAGGCGTGTTTTAGAGAAGCAAAGAAGACGCGTTCGGTGTCGCAAACGTGTCACGAAATAGCTGTCGCTCTCGCCGAGATTACCCTGCTCGTAACCGGAGACAATGATAAGTAGGATTCCAGAATCGGGGATCGGAGAATATGTGTGTACGTGCGTAAAGCGCGCGGAGGATGTTTGACTCGAGCAAATAGATTTTACGAGAACCCGGGCCGGGTACGTAACAATTACCTGCGAGCGAAGAGCCTCGTTTCTTCGTGGCACATTTTCGCTCGACGACGATAAAGTGTGAACGGCTGGCAAGAAAAACGAAGGAGGCACTCAGAAAAGAGACGACATGAAATGTAAATAGTCGCGGGGCGCTCGCGCGTGGGCGCCCGAGCCCCGTAGATAACGATAGTAGTGCAGGTGCGCGCGCGCGTTTCTCCGCGCGAGGAGAGGAATCCTAAACGACAGCTTTTATATTTCGCGAGAAAACCACCTGCAAGAAAACCACGTGTGTTCTATCACACGACACATCGATGTACTCTTGGTCGCGCATCGCGACGCCGATAAGAGACCGAGAAAATAGAGAATCTAGGACCCATATAATCCGCTTCTACGCTTATTTCCCGCGAGTCGAGTTTCTCGGCTCGTGCGTTTTGCTTAATCTCGTTGACAAGGGCGTGAACTTTTTAAGTCCCGCGAGAATGGCGCAGGTGACAGGTATAATATGATACATACGGATGCATAGATGGCACAGAACAATCGTAAAAGCAAACTCACCGTTTCGGACGCGACATTCTTGACTTCCTCCAGCAGGGTTGCGGCAGGTGACAGATACGTCCGGACGAAGTTGTCCAAGTTTCCGTGATAGGCGCACACCAGGATGTCCCGCGCTTGCCGCACGAGCAGATCCATAACACCGTCGCCGTAGATCGGTCCGAGCAAGCTCCGCACTAGAGAAGCAAAGTCCCCGCGATTCTGCAACACACAGCGAGACGCCATTTATTTGGTTGTTAGACACGCATGTACACACACACACACACACAAGGGTCATTAACCGCAAATTTAATTCCCGGATTATGTAATGAAATCGCACGTCGTCACACTAATCGCTCATTGTCAACACACGTCCGGACACCGGAAGTGCGCGAGACAACGAACGAACGTGCGGTCCATTCACATCGTTACGACCGTTGGCACAGGCAAAATCTGTTACCGACAGTTATCTCCCTCGACGTCAGAGTAAACAAGGGGAACGTGAATTGGGTTTCGCGACAAAAGCCCGACTGAAGCTCCCGGGGATGCTCGCACGTGCGCGCGCGGGAGATAAACGTCGATATTGAACCTATAGGTACATACCGCGCGATCAGGGAATCATTCTTCAAACGCGCGCATCTGTGCAAAAATTAAATTTACACAGATATTGTAACGTGTCTCATCAACACCGACATTATCCGCCACTGCCACGGCGTTACTTTCCCACCGAGATTCGAATACCGAGAAGAGGAGGATGAACACACTTGGTCTTGTGTGTGTGTGTGTGTGTGTGTGTGTGCTCGTCTCGATGTGGGTGCATTATATCGAACCGCATCGCCGCCTCGAAGCGCATAAACATTAAGGTTTAGCGAGAGCACACGAGAGAAACGGGGAGGAGAACAGCGCGCGGCGACGTAACCATTATACGTGTGTCCGATCGCCCACGTGTTTCCGCCCTCATGCGGTGCGTGCGGACCGCAATGCGATCGGAGCCAAGTGTTGAGAGCTGCGCGCAGAGACTTTTCGTGAAACCGCATCGTCGCCGAGAGAGAGAGAGAGAGAGAGAGGAGAGAGGGGGGTTTCAGACACGGTATCTGGACGATCTTCACATGAGAAACAAAACCGGATGTGGTTAGACAAAAAAGTTACTCTCGCGCGCGCACGTAAAATGCATCCTAAAACACTATTTTTCGCTTGAACTTTAAGCGGCAGAGTCTAACGCGATTTTAGAAAAGTTCTAAACAATTTACTTGTGTTAATTTCGTCTAAAGTAATTAATGTTAAAAAATTAAAAAGAAATTGCTGACTGTGTAAAAGAGAAATCGATATTATTTTCTTTAGAAAGTGAGCGTTCTTAAAAATGTAATAAATCAAATGTGTACACACATTGTACACGCGGGGTGTTTCGGCAAGTACGGTTCATAACTCACGTTTCTGTCACGTGGTGCCGTCCCACGGGATGTACCGATTATAATAACAGACCGACACGAGTCGGCTCGTCAGTACCAATATTTGGTCACCCGAAATTTATGGGAAAAGGGTAAGTTGCTGCATAAAGGGCTCGTTAGGGAGGGCGCACATATCCCGTAGGGTATTCGGAAGGAGGGGGATGGAAACGGACACACGCAGTGTGGATCTGCATATAAATTAACCGCCGATTCATATACCGCCGGCAAGTTTTAAACGTTCACCTCACGGACACACGTTGCTTTCGCTAATGTATTTACTCGCGCGAGAATAGGCAAACTGTGATTTACTATCGCTGTGAGCGCGCGTGCGCCTATATTTTTCGAATTGCGCATGCAATATTCAGAAGGAGATACCATTAAAATAACATAGGAAACTGCACACACGAGAGAGGTACGTCATTTAACGGAACGTCATTCTTGTCTTAGTTGGTTGAAAATTTGCTTCAAGCGCAGCTAAATGAATAGCCGCCGCGGATTTGGAAGAAACTTATCGGAAGTAAAGCGAGTGACTGCGCGCGCGAGCGCTTACACAATGTACCAGAAGCAACCGCGATATCCATCAATGCTACGCTCCGTTCGGAGCTACGATAATGCAACGGACCACCGTTGCGAGCCGTTGCGAGAGAGACGCACCAGAGAGAGGCCGAGAGCGATAAAGAAACAGGGAGAGAAGGAGAAGAAGCCGGGTGGAAGGTATGCGGCTTGGAAACGGGCATTAATCAATCTGCGCACGTGGAAAGCCGCGGTTTCGCGGGACGGAGCGGTGCCTCACTTGGCTTAATAAAGTTGCAAATCGTTGCATGTACACGTCGTGATTAGACGCGTGACATGCGTTGCGCTATCCGCGCGCATATCTAACGAGGGAACGTACGTACCTATCGTAGATGTGGGGCGCATTTTTTTTGGTTCCGTAGCCGCTGCATTTGTAAAGCAGCATCGAAAAATAAGTAAAACAAATTGAATTTTTGAAAAGTGTATTTTTAGTTTCAAATCAAATGTTTTTTTTTTCTATATTGCGTGTAATATAAAAATATCTGACAATATAATATGCGACCGCTTTAATTCCCGATATGCACCTTGTTATGCGCGCAGTCTCGTTTTATTTTTAGTTTTTCAAAGCACGCAAAATATATTATTGATTAAATTACAATATCCACGAGAGAAACGAATACGTAGCGAATATTTTTGAGTTTCAAATTAATGCATTCAAAAAATTTATGAAACACGTGTGTAAAATAATATTTTAAAAAATTGTTAAACAAAACAATTTTTAATTTTAAATAATTATTTAATATTAATTTACCTTCTGTTGGCGTGGCATTCCCGTTTTATTTAAAAGCGGTGCAAGATATATTATCAGCGAAAGTGAGAAATCCGCGAGTCGCCTTCCCGTAAGAGCGCTCTCGGCTCGCGCGACGAGAGATTAGTCGCTGCGGCTGGGTCGCGGCGACGGGTCACGGCTGCTATACGGCACCCTGTATATAGGACGGTGACGTCACCGCGGGTTACCTACGAGAGCGGAGTGTGTATAAAATGCATCCGGTGGGTGTGTCGCTCCCATACCCTTTGTGACTCCGGTTGGCGCTAGGAGCGACGAGGCCGCTATTACAAACGCCGCCGTTTAATCGCGGCACGAAAGGGAAGGTGATCGTGCGCGACCGAATTCTATTTTGTCAGCTTTAAACTGTAAACCTGCCGGAGGATCAATGTCGTAATCTTATTTCCGAGAGGGAGAAAGAGACGCGCTTTGCTCGTTTTTTTCTCCCAAGAAATTTCAAGAAATTTGCGGATGTAACTCTTTCCTCGACTTTAAAATACAAAATGAGGCTGAATAATGGAGATGAAGTGTAAATATCAAATAAAGATTTCCGAGATCGGATATCGAAGAATAACGAGAGAAGTCAGTATCGCGCGAGAAGTGGAGGGTTTCTATCGCACGTGACAATTTTCCGTGAGTAGGGTGCGCCGCGGCGAGTCTATAGTCTTTCCCATGCGAGGTGAACCTCTCTGCCTGAAAGAAGAAGAGAAAAGGGACAGACTTTCACCTCGACCACGGTCTCGCGCGTGCGCGTCCGTTACGACAATCGCGAGGGATTTTATTTATTCCCCGTACGTGAAGAAGATGACTCTCTCTCTGTCTTTGTGAGCGAGCGTAGCTCTTTGCGACAAGTAGCTCTTCAAACGGAATCACATGAGGAATGAAAAAATTCTTCTTCTTCCAACGGATGAGCACGCACGTTGTGCAAGCTGGCACGATAGCGTATTGATCGACGCTTTCTGAGCAAAAGATCGTATATTTTCTTTCTCTTTTTCTTCTTGATAGAATTTGTTTCTTTGTTCTAGATGTCGTCTATTTTGCTATTTGAAAAACAGCTACGTTGTCGTTTTACATCACAGTTTTGCAACATGAAATGTCTTTGGTTGCACGCAAAAAATCGACATTTGATGTGTAACAACAATTATAAACATTACTCGATTATTTGCGGAACGAAATACTAGACTCTTTATTAAAATGAAAATAGAATCGTACAACGCTTTGACACAGACCATGCCACATGGTGAGCCGTCCTTTTCTCGCAGAGATCTCTTAGTCCCTTGCTATCTCTGCTCGCGCCGTTTCTCCCTACACGACTTCTCGACACTCTCTTCTTTTTTATCTATCCTGATTTTCAACCTTTTCATAGCTCGCTCTATCGCATCTTCACTACTATACGCAATAATTTCGATCAACATCTGTGAACCATGTTCTTAATTTTATTACCGACCGATTCAGTCGCTTACACAATTGAGGCCTTTTTCGACACAAATTGTGCGGCTGCGGCGCACAGAAATATTCCTCCCGGCGACTCGTAGGTGGAAACTCGAGTTTCTCGTGCCGATCGTTTGCAAGAGCAACCACCTCTTGAGTGGCATGGGAGGCGAACGCACCATGTTCGTTCATCCACTCTCGCTCTCATCCCTTTCTCCCTTCCTGCCGTCTCTCTCCCTCTCTCTCGTTTCTATCTCGTCGTTTCTTTCTTTTTCATCTTCCTAGCGTTTTCAGCTTACTCTGTCTAGCTGTTTTTATTAACCAACCTGAGCCAACCAACTGTACACGCTCCTGGCATGTACGATACCGCAAATATTTGTCCGCCGATTCTATGCCGCTCTTATAGATGGACGGAAACCAGAAAGGTCATTGCTCTTTGCAAACATCGACAACTGCAATGAGGACTGTTATAAACATGATATATACGTATATATGTTGCACGTACTCTCTATGCACACATTTATTTATATAATCATCTCGTGATTGTATTAAAGCAGTAAACAACAAAGCGCGCATCTGAGTGTCTGAGAACTAGAACGGGACATTTTGTACAAATTGATTCTGCGAGCGTCTTTGTTTCTCTCAAATAGATCGCTCCGGAATTTACCGCAAAACCTCATCAAGCCGCGGACAAGCAGCGTTAACTTAAATTACCGATGTAATACTCATGGACAGTTGCGACAATACCCGTTCGGATTTAACGTGCGATTAGACCCGAAACGTGACTGCCAATCGCCGGAATATTAGGCTAACTCAACGGGAGGACGGGAGGCAAAAAATTGCAACGATGATTAGCAATAATTGCCCGATAATCATAGTAATGCATCTCTAGTTTTGCCTTACGAAATTATGCTTGTGAGTGAATCACGACGCGCTCCGCTCCGCGGCTTGCGTCAGAAAGTTCGTCTTACATTAAAATTGCTTTATTATGAAGAGCAATATTC